CCAATAGGCCATGGCCACTTGACCAGGCAGAGGCAGCCGCCGAGCTCGAGCAGGAGCAGTTGCCAAGCCCAAAGCTGAACGGGACGCGCCGCCCACCTGGGCGCCCCAAAATGGGCAGGCCGGACACGCGCGTTGCCCCCTGTCGGGCCGCGGAAAAGTGCCCCTTACCCTTTCCACGCGAGGACGCGAGGCTTTTCCCATCATTTCAGGTTTCCATCCGCCGATGCCCGATCTCAAGCGGCCGGCACAGCGGCATGGCGGTGGCGGGGCGGGCGCACCCATGTCGACACGGACACGATGGCGTCCAATCATTCATTTTGTAGGGAGCTGGCGTCGGGCGAGACGAGACGCGCATGGCAATGGCCACCACCACCACCACCATGACAGGCACCACACCACCAGGCAGGAGGAGTTGAGTTGCGCGCGCACGGACAGGGGCAGGGACTGTACCGGCCGACATGCATGCATGGCAGGAGCGGAACGGCCGAGCCCAATCGGGCGGCGGCTTTGCCGGCCGGCCCACGGATGGGGCTGCTGCTGCTGCCCATTACGACGATGTCCACATGGATCTCTGCAGGGGATCCCATTAATTCATGCTGGATGCGTGTGGGGATCTCTCCCGAATCTGACCGACTGGCATGGCTGCTGCTGTGCTGCATGCTAGCTAGCTGCATCCAGAATCCGAGGCGAGTGGATCGTGTGCTCACTCGGTCGACACTACCGCCGTAGTACGACAACACCTAGTAGTGCTGATGCATCATTGGCTCATTGATGCATCGCTCATTACTCATTATGGATGAGGATGATACGCCACTTGTTTGTCAACAAGGCCATCAGGGCCAATCCAGTGGAGAGACCTGGATCCGATCCAGCCACAGGTCCCATTCAGATTCAGGGAGAGGATCGTCGCAGCTGCTGTGCCTGCCTCCTGCGGCGCACAACCAGCCAATAAGCTACATACCCCGATACCCGCTGGCCGCCGGCCGGCCGGCCGGTCCACTCAGCAGTGCGGCGTGACTGTCACGTCATGATCGATATGGAACTATGGAACACAGCTCAAGCTACCAATGCAAGCAGCCCAGCCTGCATGGAGTGGCGATCGAGCCATGGGGCGCGGCCGGCGCGACGGGGACACGTACGGGCCAGGCCACCAGCAGTCCAGCACGCACGCATGCCGTTTGGCAGCTAGCGACCGAACCGCCGGGAACTAGCTTGCCCGTCGATGTCGTCGATCATTCGATGCGCGCGGTGTCATCACCATCACGTGGGCGTCGCGGCCGCGCAGGGCCGGGTCACTCACAAGCGTCCCCTGTGGCCTGTGGGCGCCACGGGAGGCGCACGCGCGCGCGCGGGGTGCTGTGCATGCCCGCGTCACGTCGGCGTCGGCGTCGGCCGGCCGCCATTCTCCCGCCCGCGCGCCCTGCCAGTGCCAAGTGCCAGCGCTGATGGAATGGAAACCCACGACATCGATCGGTGGATGCTCGCGCGCGGAATCACGCAAGGGCCTCCTCTCTCGGCCACGCACTGTTCATGCGCGTCAGCGTTCGGCGCCGGGGACCGCCGGAGCACTACTGCACTAGTCGCTGACTCGCCCGCGAGCCGGCCGCCTTTCATTCCTCAATCATTCGCGGCGGGGCTCTGATTCTCGGACAGATTCCGATCCACGGCGGCAGCAGGCGCGCGCAAGTACTACTGCCTTCGATTCTACCGGCCATATACACATGCGACAACGACGGCCGGCCGGCGGGCCGATCAGCTTTTATTGCTTCACCCACCACCTGCGACGGCGATGCATATATGGAGACTTGGAGAAGGATCGGAGTGCGCCGGTCGTCCATGCCGTCCAGGCCAGGCGTATATATATCTAGTGAGTGCGGCTCGCTGTCGCTTCAGAACCGAGCGTTCATGCTCATGCCCCCGTCGATTTTTTTACCTCGATCGTCTTCACAGTGTATGCTGTGTCCAAGCATATCCGCTTTGGTTACTGGATGTCGTAGTACCTAATCTAGATAAGGCTATCTAGTTACAAGTAGTTTTTCTTACCAATTGTACTGCCTTTCTATCATTGCATAGTGATGACAACGGTTTTATCCATATGGATCGATGCATTGCGGTCAAGGCATGTTTGGATCCATGCTACATTTTTAAAACTATTTTTTTTGTTAGATTGTAAAAGGCTAGAGCAAAAGGTACCTAGGTTTTTTAATAGGCAAAAAAACTCGTAGAACCCATAGAAAACTAGTTTGTGAATTGTAAAAGTTATACTAAAAGTTAGGCTGTTTGGATCACAATATGGATTTCACGCTTCATTGGGATCTAAACTGGACATACAAGTGCCTGTATACTGTAGAAGATTACACTCGGTGGACTCTGTAGCGTTGTTGGCTCCTTTTGTGTTCGTTGGTTCGTCACTTGGGATGTTGTGTTGTGGTTTTTCATTGTTTTTTCTTTGATTAACTGTGCACTTGTATGGTTTTCGGCCCTAGCTTTCCTCAGGAACCGAGTCAATTCTTTCTTCTATAGTGAATTCTTGGAACCTTCTGTCCTTTTCGAAGATCCTTCAAAAAAAAAAATCCTGCGTGATATATCTTTTCCAAAGCATGATTTGAATATATGAAACATATGAAATGCACCGATTCCCTAGTCTTAGGAATACAGTGAACAAGAGAGCTGCATGCTATGCAAATACACACACTCTTACTTTTTTATAAGTGTTGTAGGTGCAAACTAACCAAAAGTAACAAGTAGTTATGGGCTTATGGCACACACATATAATAACCATTTCACTAAAAAGTCCAATGCATGGTTTGCTACATTGGTTTGCAGCTAGAAATGAGCTTGTCACTTGACTTGTGTTCATCATATACTCGTACTACCATTGTCAGTTAGCATACACACATACTATATATACCCATATACCAGGTGTACTTCCAATAAGTGTATGAGTAGATAGCCCAAAAGTCCATGAAAATAATGGACCAGTTGTGCAGAAAAGAAAATATGCAAAACCCAACAACTTGCATGCCCAATACAAAATGAGGTTCCACATAAGAACACCATCTTACGTTGCTGCTTATTATCTAAACACAAAACCTCGCAAAAGTGGAAAGTAACACATGTGCCAATGCAAAAGAAGAGATGAAATGGAATCATAACTCTAGAAAAAGCTAAGGAGCAAGGTTGCACACACTAGTAAAGTGACAACGTTTGTAAACTGATAAAGAATATGCTCTCGTGTAGAATAAGTACCGATGGAGTAGATTTGTCTGAACATGATCAGGCACAACACACACAACAATGATCTAGCTTAACTTTGAGAATCATCTGTTCATTTTACTCATCACTCAAATTCTATTTTCTGATATTATTATACGTGAGATGGTGAAAGTAACGGTGGTTTATTAGAATGCAAATGGATCTAGAATGACGGCAATAGAATTAGGAGCACTTTTGACATATGCATAAAAAGACTAGACTGGAACTATAGTTAAATCATATGGAACGATGGACTTCCACACCATTTTATCTCATTCTAGAAAAAGAAACATTGTAGTGTTTTTGATATTTTTATAGTTTTCCTTAGTTTTATTGCCTAGTGGTATAGTTATCACGTATTCAACCAAAAGTTTCATTGCAATTTGCTTGATTTTCTATACAGTTCTTTAATAGATCTAAAGTGACATAAATATCGCAAAACATATCATAGCCATAGTATATGCAAATTATAGATGAACTTGTTATATAGTGATTTATAAAGATTTAAAATTTCAACACTGTCTAAATTACACACTTGTCTTTTATATTTGTTACGCCTAGCAAATCTAGGCACCACTATTTATTGATCCCAAGTAATCATCACAAGCTATGACTTCCACTACTACACGAATCAATTTGCGCAGCGTGGCCAAAATGGGCTCCGTGGCGGGCACCACTTTTGCCCGCCACGGTTAACCGGTGGCCGGCCACCGAGGCCGGCCACCGAGGCGCCCGCTGCTGGAAAAGGGTTTACCGCGGCGGGCCACCTTACTTGCCCGCCGCAGGAAATTTATATTTACCGCGACGGGCGGTATGAATGGCCCGCCGCGGTTAATAAGATTAACCGCGGCGGGCCACATTAACTGACCGCCGCAGGAAATTTATATTTACCGCGGCGGGCGGCATAAATTGCCCGCCGCGGTTAATAGTATTTACCGTGGCGGGTTGTTTAAACTGCCCGCCGCGGTAAAGCCTCTATAAATACGCCGCCTACTTCATCTTCTCCACGGGTCTTCTGGTTCTTCGGTGTTCGTTTCGCAGAGCTGTTGCGGGTAATTCTATCCAATTAAAATGATCTATTGGATACAAAATTATGGGGCAGCCAACAAATTAGCATGAATTACTAGAGCCTACAAGCGTGTTGTGGAAGGAAAAAATTTTGGTCAGGAATATGCTTCTCTCAAAAGATCATCATTCACAAAAAGAATTAAATAACACGTTGAATATTCCAATATTTTTTTGTAAAGGGCCACTTGGCCCGGCCTTCTTTGGAGGCATTTGTAGGAACCAGGGATCGAACCCTGACCGGCCAGCTCCCAACCAATTATATTAAGAATTGAGTGGTCTGAAGACTAAACAATATATGTACTCATGATTAGTTCAAGCACCAAGGTAAAAATATTTATCCATTCATCTATTACAATCAACACTTATAAAAACAACTTACATTGTTTGTTAAAATAAAAGAATATTTTCAACCTCACAAAAAAGAACCTATCAGCTGTCTCAAATCAGGAGATCTAATGTTAGAGCAAAACTAAAAGACAAAATATCAACCTATAATTTTTTTTACATGTACTAGCCTAATTCAACTATATGATTGTGGTGGTAGAGAAGCTAGCATCATATTTTTCCTATTGCACCTACCCATTAGAATAGATGTAAATAGACTGGTACATGTATTCACAAAATTTTTCGAATAAAAATAGAAGATGGATGGCCTTATCAATCAAACAAATCAGATATTATTTGCTCTTGTGTCTTTCATAGCCAAAGTCATTCCAACATTGAACGATGTCATCTGCAATATTGGTAGCATCCACAGACACACCAAGGAGCCCACGTCTTGAGAACCCAGCAGCATAAAGGCCATTCTTTCCTTTCCATTCATTTGAATTGTGTGGAAATCCATTTTTCTCTGAAAAGAAATCCTTCTCCTATGTACAAATGAAAGAAAATTAGGTCAATAATTTGTTTTCATAACATCATCAATTATAAGGAGCACATGCCAAAAGAAAAGTGATATTAAGTACACAACATGCTAGTTTTTATATAAACTTTTATACCTTCAACCAATAAGGAACATTGCTTTTGTATCCAGTGGCAAGAATCACAACATCAAATGATTCGGTTTTGCCGTCAATAAACTGAACACCATGCTCTTTGAAACTTCGAATTGCTGGAAACACCTGACAAATTTACAATGGAGATAGAATTATTAGGACATGTAATTAAGATAGTTATATAATCACAACAATGTCTAAATGAAAACAAGTAAGCTAATTACTTTAATGTCTCCAGACTTGATCTTGGCTATAGTTCCCACATCTAGAACCGGCGTCTTTCCAGAGACTTTCTTCAGCTCCATTGGGCCAATGCTAGGTCGAGGGATGCCGAGGCGTGCAGTGTCGCCTAGCACAAGCTGCGTGAGCACTAGGAGGATCTGGTCCACTGTCTGGACTGATAGACACATGAGAAGCCACATGGACAAACCAAAAGTGGAGAGCCCCATGATCTCTCTTGGAAGGACATGAACCTGGAAAAGAATATAAAAGATACTATCAGTTTCATAGTTCAGAATAAGAGTCAGTAATGCACTAAATACAGTTACAGTCAGTTGGAGAAATGATCATCTATCTGAGATACTGTAAACTAACACCGAAAGGGGAAGCAAATCAAAGTGGCTCTTGTTTTTTTTTCCTTTCGTGACAGGGATGCAAGTTAATAAAAGCAATTTGGCAAAAGGGAGCAAAATAATAAAGGTTGAGCCTCGGGGCCCAAACACTTGGAGCTAACCTGCCCTTTATAGATATTGTGTTAGTTGCAAGCTAGCGGTTGCTAGGTTGTACTACAACTTTGCAAAGTGAGTGGGAGCAACAACACCTGTGGTGCAGCTTCCATATTCATATGCTTATCAGCATCAAAGTAGTTTTAGTAATGGTTTGCAAATCACGTTCCAGTAAGAGAAAAGAAAAGATAAAACACAAAATATATATGTAATATCGCAGTGTAAAGTATGTGGAGGCCAATCCCGAAGAGTTCTTCTTGCCGAACGAATATTGCAAAGGGCATGCATCTGTTAGTGCTATTGTTCGTTACTCCTATTTGGCCAACTAACTGATGAACTGAATGTGACAGTTTCGAAAGTTCAGTTCAATCTGTCTTGAAGTAAACAAATCTAGCTAGGAAGGTTTGTTTTTTCTGTTGTTATTTCCTTGAAAAGGATCAAACGCATGCTCATGAATCCCGAGAAAGTTCCATGGAGAATCACGGCCTCTTTCTTGGCATGCATGCCAGGGGGGCTCTCTGTGGCTAGCTAGCTCGTGTGCTTTTTTAACCCAAGAAAGAAAAGTAAGGTTAACACATGCATCCAGTGAGATCTCACAGACTAGCCACAAAACTATTGTGCTTCGGGAATCGAAGTGTATGAACGCACGTGAGATCAAGTGTGATGCCAACTAAGGCTAAGCATTTTATATATAGTTAGTATAATAACAGCCATGCTAGCTATAGCTTTATCATGCGGCCTTATATTTTGTTGCAACATAACATGAACAAAAAGAAATAAAGGACCGGGGAAAAAGTTGCACCAATGGAAAAGATGCAAATACCACCTTTGTTCGTTTAGTGGGTTCGTTTTTGTGCGTGCATCTTTTCGTTAATGTTTGTAGGAGAGTATTAGCAAAACACAAATCTCTGAGTTATATATCGACTAGTTAGTGATTGCAATGGTTAGTTAAATCGATCTGTATTATTCCATCCGAAGAACAAAGCAAATCTATTTATTTAAATACAAGATGAAAAAGAAGCAAATTGCAAAAGAAACCCAAACACAAACGATCGAATTGAGGTGTGCAAAATTAGACAAATGGTAAGAGCGAGCTGAGAGGTGATTGAGATTGAAAACGATGATCCATGAAATGAAGACTCTGTTATATATCTTCTCACCGAGTCACGCACAACCATGGAGGTGTGCACATTATGGTTGGAGAGGTCAAGAGACACCTCCGTACCGGAGTTGCCGCAGCCGACGACGAGCACCTTCTTACCCCGATAGTCCTCGCCGCTGCGGTAGTCGCTGGAGTGCATGACGAGGCCCCTGAAGGCATGGATGCCGTCGATGTCGGGCACGACGGGCTCAGCGTTCTCGCCGGTGGCGACGACGAGCCATTTGGAGCGGTACTCGCTGGTGACGCCGCCGCTGCCGCCGCCGACGACGGTGCGGACGCACCAGAAGTCACCGTCGTGCTCGGCGCTGACGACAGCCTGGTGGAAGAAGGGCCTGATGCCGAAGGTGGCGATGTAGTCCTCGAGGTAGGCGAGGAACTGATCCCTGGTTGGGTAGTCCGGGTAGCTTGGCGGGAAGTGCATAAGCGGCAGCTCGCAGTAGCGCTTGGGCAGGTGGAGGCGCAGCCTGCGGTACGTGCGGTGGCGCCACAGCGAGGCGACGCAGCCGTGGCGCTCCAGCAGCACGTACGGGACGCCGCGCATGGTGAGGCACGCCGCCACCGCCAGCCCCGCCGGCCCCGCGCCCACAATCACCGGCCCCGCCAGCACCTCTCCGTGCTCGCCCACGGGGAAGCCCGTGGCCGTCGCCCTCGCGGCGCGCCGCGGGCTGTATAGCGGGTCGTGCGCCCTCTTGCCCTGCGTCTCGGCGTAGCGGTCCATGATCGATCTCGGCCGGCCGGCCAGCCGCCAGTCTACCAGCAGAGCACTGACTATATGCGCTCGCGACCAGCACAGCGGAAAGCTCGATCGATGGCACTACTACTATATCTATTTATATATCCGCTAGCTTGGCTGATCAGATATAGTATATATGAGATGGATAGACGATCGATCTGCAGACTGCAGCTAGAGGTAGCTAGCGATATATATATATATATACACTACACTACACTACAGGAGGAAGAGGATGTGAGCTATATATATATATAACTACTACCCTGTAGCCGGCTACAAAATAACTTATTTTATAGCCACTTTAAGTTATAATAATTACTATGTTAATTTACGAGATTACAATAACTCCTTACTAAGTGGTTTACTATAACGTTATGGTAAATATTCCCGAATGTTATAGTAACTCAATTATTGTAAATATGTATTGAAATTATCGTAAATTAGTATATAAAATTATCGTAAATAAAAGTGGCTACAGAATAACTTATTTACAACTGGCTACTGAATATATATACACACACGCACGCACACACACATCCTCAATCTCGCCGAGGAGAAGGCAGAGCGGGAGGGAGCGGTGGTTAATTTTCCGACCGGTTTTTTTGGAATCAGCTGATTATTAGTATATATAATATATTCCGGTCGGATATATGGATTGATGCCGACCGGGTGATGCGTTGCAAGGAAAGACTGAGACAAGTGTGCACCAGCAGGCAGGCAGGCATGTCTGCTTCTTGATCCCTTGTCTTCCTCTACCCTGTTCGTTTGTTCGTAAACGATCGTAAATTTTCAGTCAAAAATAGTGTTTTTCTCTCACACCAAATCAGCCAGCAGTAAATAATTCACGATACGATACGGCCTCCCGAACATGCTATCGACTAGTCCGAGATCACCGTGGCGTCAATGAGCGGTGACTAATCAATGGCAGTCCCAGCAGGAGCAGTTCTTGGACCCCGTCCCTCAGTCCAAGCAGCAGCTCTTGGACCTGTTTGGCAGAGCTGGCTAGTTTCGGTTCTTCTTGCACTGTAGTAAAGAACTATTTGTCTCTTCTTAAAACGAGTTTTTTTTCTTTTACGAATTACATAGTACAATATAGACAATCACAACATACGCACATTCACACTTCTATGAACGTACGTACGCAAACCCTACACCTATGAGCATCTTAGAAGACTGGACCGGCAAATCCTCGAGATTGACGAAGACGCCACATACACCTCGCTATCGACGGAAACGTCGACTAACACCGGAAACACAATGCCGCAAAATCCTGGATATTCGCTCCCACGAGGAGTGTCGAATCCAGCGCCCTGTTCGTTTGGGCTTGTTTGGCTAATAAGACATGGCTGAAAGTACCGTTGACTGATTTGATGTGAGAGAAAAATACTGTTCGTTGGCTGAAAAAGTACGTCTTATAAGCTAAACAAGCCTAAACGAACAGGACGTAGGACCTAGGGTGCTACTACCACTAGGCTACCAGCCATTTCGACTCTTCTTAAAACGAGTTAGGAGCAGAAGAAACCACTATTTTAGTTTCATCAGTGATGTATAGCAAGAAGCTGAAGTCGTGTCAAATAGGACCTATATTTAGGTTGTTCAACGGATCGAATTCAGCATTTCTGGACGGATGTACATCTCATTCTTTACAATATTGTTTATAGATACAAAACATAATGGTATAGATAAAAACATAGTGCAATTATTTATAATGTTCTATATTCTTGTAATTAAGAAAATCTTGGAATTATTTATGAGATTTTTAAGTAACCATTCAAAAGACATGTCATTGGGGTTTCCTACATCAACGATTAACATGGGCTATAAAGTGAAAAAACATGCATTGATCATCACCAGGAGATGCATCCAATTTTTATGGCTGGTGGTATGACACATCCGCGCAATCATCACTTAGCTTAAAAAACAAATGTTTTCACACAAAAATGTTCTTGTTGCATCCTTAATCAAACAAATTACACTCTTAAAACTATACAAAATAGCATAGCCATTTTGGACTAGAGAAAAATGGATGAGTCGGGGTCCGGGGCATCTGGTGGATCTTGATCCTTGAAAGCAGCACTCTACCAAGCAGGCTTGATTTTGGCCGGGACCAAAATATACCTAGTTAATAATGATCTTGCATGATTAACATCCTAGTGTCGAAGTAGCAACGCATGTGCATCATTGCACCTAGATACAAAAGCTTATTGGAACTAGAAAACATTAATAAATTTGCTTTGTAATATAAAGGAGTTCCATGTATAAGTTCTAACCCTAGCAATAAAAATGTATTTACCTCCATAGTCCGTTCCAATTTATAAGCTGTTTAGAAATTGAGGGAGTAATATATATACAACCGTGTTTATCATTCAAACACTCCCGCATATCATGTTTATGTCGTATACTTATGTGGACTAAATGTTGTGAAAATATCCGACATGGGCAAGCAAGGTGCTTTTCAATTATTATGACCATTTAGTCACGAGATCTCTAAATTGCATCAAATATCACGATTACCTTTTTTTTTGAAACTACACACAGCGTATATTTTTTGAAAGGACGGCAACAGATTTGTCGTAATTTTTATTAGACGAGGAAAGCAAAAAAAACATAGAACAAGAAAAAAAAAACTGTAGCCTAAGCCAGGGTCAAAGGAAATACCAAAACAAGACAGCAAACCCCTAACAACTCCTAGATGAAAGAAAAAACGACAGCCAAGAACACCACTAGACCCCGGCTTTGGCAAAGGAACAACTGACCACAAAAGACGGCGAAGGAAAAAACTACTGCACTATAGAGAGGTTTGAATGCGCACAGTATACATGATTGTGTTTTTTCACAAAAAAAATGACTGAATAAGCCACCAGGAAATTAAATGATATATACTCCTACAAGCATCCATTGGTGTGTGGAGCTGGGCACGATCACAGATCACTTGCATGCTGGGAACCTTCGTTCCATAATACATAAATCATCGTGTTAATAATCAAAGTAAAATAATTTCACTTTATAAAGTCTACAAAAAGTTAGATATGGGCGGGCAAGGTCCTGCGAACGAAGGTGGTACCAAACTTTAACGTCCTATGAGATGAGAGACTGGAAAGTTTGGATTTAGAATGCACAGCCAATCAATAGTAAGAGAGGGTATAGTAGTGCAGCAATATCAAAATGTTCGATCCTTGCAAACTAAGTTATCAAGTTTGACTTTTCACAACATCATATCAATTCCTTCATGCGCCTTTGCAACTTTTAAATCCATGATTGAGAAGTAAAAGGCTATTGAACCTCTTTGTTTCATGGCTCTTTGTTTTCATTCCAGGCTAGTTAAATGAAAACTTGTGCCGTGGCTAGTTGAGAATTAGATCGAGCAGCTTTTATGTGCCAAACTTAGGTTCTCTTTGACATGGTTTCTCGAGGGGCTTCAGTCTATACTTCTCTGACTTTTTAGGAAAAGTCCTACCAAATGCTAGCTCGTAAAAATGGCCCTACGAGAAAAGTTATAGAGGGGAGAAGCTGTATTTACTAGAAGGGTGAACTCATCTAAGCATGACTTCTCCAACTTCTATGACTTCTTGGGTGAAACCGTTTGCAAAAAAGCCACCAAACAGGGCCTTAATTATTCATTTGGAGAGCACAAAAGCCACCATTTTACATGTCAAAAATTTACACCGGTTAAACAATCTATATACTCCCTCATAAATAATTTACAGTAGGGGTGCGCGCCCCTCCTGTTTTTCTTAAAAAAAATCTATATACTCCCTGCATGTTTCTAAAGAAAGTCGTTTTGGACATTGACACGGTCTTCAAAAAAACAACTTTGACAACTACTTTTTACTATAAAATGTTTATAAAATATAATTAATATATACTTTTATAAAACTATATTTTGTGATGAATCTACTTACATTACTTTCATATTTTCAAACTCAATCCAAAAGATTTTATTTATAGTCAAAGTTAAATGTTTGACTTAAGACAACCTCAAAACGACTATCTTTAGAAACATGGAGGGAGTACCTAATAATATTAAAGTGAGAATAGATTCTTCCAAGCACTACGCTATAATTGCTAATCACTGCTGGTTCAAAAGCAGTGTTATCTTCCAAGCGCCCGCGTTGTAGAATTTCGATTCATCCATAGATTTATTCATCACAAAGAGAGGGCAGGATTCAACACCACATATCGATTAATTCATCACATCATACAGAGGGAGAGATTCAAAACATCATAGATCGATTCATCAAATCGCACAGAGAGATAACACATCAAAGAGAGAGGGGGAGACTCAACACATCATCGATTCATCCATGCATTATCGTGCCTGGGAGCTCCGCTCGCAACCTATATGTCGGTCGGGGAGGTTGGCCGCTCGCATGCCCACACCCACCACGTGCCGCTAGGGAGGCCACTACCCACACCCCTGGGATATAGCTAGGAGGAGAGAGGAGGAAGATAGCTTGCTAGAGGAAGACTGGCCGAGAGGAGAAGCGAGATAAGTTAATGGAGAGAGAGAGAGAGAGAGAGGAGCGAACGGACATCATCTATACGACTTAAACGGATCGACTCAAATGTTCAGGTCTGGGTGCAGGAATCACTACCAGTTGATAATAATACAACCAGACAACGATAGTATCACTATCGGGTTGCATTACCAAGCAGCAGTGATAATTATTCATCGTTGTCGGTTGTTTTTTAAAATCTAGCAGTGATAAGCTTGTTGCTTATGAACTGGTAGTGATTATCTGCTATGAGTGAACTATTTTTTTTTCACAAAATGCCCTCACTTCTCTCTCTATCTCGTATGTAGCCCAACCTCAGGACCTGTGCCCACACGAGATAAGAACCGTGCGACGTTCATATGCCCAGCAACGGTATTGAGTCCAATTTCAAGCTATGTACTGGAACAGATAATACTATCACCGATTAAATCTCTAGGCCGCAAATCGTCCAGGTAATCATACAACAAGTTGTACATTCCGTTAACGTTG